ACATTTCCTCCTAAACATATAATCTCCATTAATGATGATACCACTTGTTGACAATCAATTTATGGAAGCTGCTCACAAAAAAAACAGCAACTTCAAGAAGCTGCTACACCCGCGGTGCTTGCTAGTTACCACTACAAGAAGGAAAATTTTTTAACACTAAAAGGTGCACTTCCGCACCCAATAGTAGAGGAGGAGGATCCACAAATCAAAGTATCATATGCCAAATTTATTTTAAGATTTGCCACAACAATACCTATAGTATATGGAAACTAAGTTAGGAACATCCTTTAGTCAGAGAATTTCTTGTAATGCATATTTCTCTTGCATTCATTCAAATACCAATATACAATGTAAAATTAAAAAGAATTACATTTAAAACTTTAATTTGCATTACTTACCTTCTTGATGGTTTGCTTCTTCCAAACCTTCACTTCTTACTTTTCTTCTATTATAAATCACTCCAAAGCCTCCTCTTTGCATAAGACTATATAATCTATATCATCCTAAATTATGATTTGCATAAGAACTTTATTGAGTTGAACTAGTATAAAAGATAAAGAAATTTAGGATTCTTACCTTTGTCTATCTTCTAAGATTTAGTCACTCTTCAATTCGAACGTCTTAAATTTTCCTTCACTGTTTCAATTATTAGTTTGAAAACATACATCAACTTACACTTCAATCATATAGTTATGTATTAATCATATTTAAATCTTAATAATTCTTGCACAAGTTTACTTACCTAACAATATCTTCTCCACAAGCACTTCACTGCACAGAAATCTGAATTACACTACTTTCACTGGCTTCTCTTCCGGTCAATAGTGTTGAAATCCTCTTGTACTATCAATTCAACCATTTCCCTTCAGCATTTTTGCCGCAGAACTCTTTCATCAATGTTTTGAGCATCTTGCTATAGGAAATATTACCCAACTCCTTCCTCAAAGTGTTGCACTTCACTGCAGGAATGCTGCCTAGGGAGTTCCGAACTTTACTACAGTAATTCCATGCTATCGCTTCCAAGCCAACTCTCCGCTTCTTGCTACAGTAACGGAACCATTGTGCCGAACTTTGCTACAGGATTTCTCTGATTTCCTTTACTGAACCAGCGGCAGTTTCCTATGAATGATTTCCATAGATGGATAAAAGAGTGGGTCCCACTCTACAACCGACTTCCAATAGTTTCCTCCCTAAAGCATATATTCGGCTGCTAATTAAAAACTCAGTTAATTATTTT